TCCAGCCTGGGCGACAGAGCGAGACTCCGTCTCAAAAAAAAAAAAAAGAAATCCTCCCGCCTCGGCCTCCCAAAGCACTAGGATTAGAGGTGTGAGCCACCTACACCTGGCCTAACCGTTGCTTTTTATGTAAGGGGAAACTGAGGCCCAGAGAGGGTGAGTGATCTGTCTTGGGTCACCCAGCCCCAGGGTTGGGGCTCATAGCTGTTCTGAAAAGGTTCTGGAGAGGCCAGGGCTTATCTCACAGAGGCTGGCAGCCTGTCTGCCCCATCCCCGGCCTGCCTCTCCCAGCCTGGTAGGTTCAAGATCATTTGAGCGTTTCCTCCACAGCAGGAGCCGGATGCATCTGCTCCAACTAATAATCCCATTAGGGCCATTTGCGCCTCCTAGGGGCAGGCGCCTGGGAACCCAGCCAGCGCCCTCCTCCCTGACCTCTTGCCCCAGAGGGTGGGGCCCCTCCACATGGCACAGGGTGTCTTCCGGCCTCCTCTCCATCCCTCACCCTCCCCAACCTGCCCATCAGCGACACGTTGCTCCTCCGGCCTGGCACCCTTCCAAGGTCCACCTGGAAGTGTCCTGCTCCTTCTTCAAAGCCACCCCTCCCCAAGATGCTGCCTCTGAAGCTCAAACAGTCCATCTCCCTGACAACTGTGTCCTCTCCTTCTCTCGCATGTGGTGGTATCACTGTCCTCCCCCTACAGCAGTGGGCACCTTGAGGGTAGAACGTTGCCTCGGGCATCTCTGGCCCCTGGGATCCAAGCACTGAGCGGGAATCCTGATAATAAATGTTGCATGATAAATAGGCACAGTGACTCACGCCTGTAATCCCAGCAGCAGGATCACTTGAGACCAGGAGTTCGAGACCAACCTGGGCAACACAGTGAGACCCTGTCTCTACAAAAATTTAAAAAATTAGCCAGGCGTGGTGCCATGTACCTGTAGTCCAAACTACTCAGGAGGCTGAGGCGGGAGGATCACTTGCACCCAGGAGTTTGAGGCTGCAATGAGCTATGATCACACCACTGTTCTTTCCAGCCTGGGCAACAGAGTGAGATTCTACAAAAAAATTAATGTCTACAAAAAAATTAAAAATTAGTTGGGTGTAGTGTCATGCATCTGTAGTCCCAGCTACTCTCAGGAGGCTGAGGCGGATCACTCGAGCCCAGGAATTAGAGACTGCAGTGAGCTATGATGGCGCCACCGCACTCCAGCCTGGGCTACAAGGCGAAACTCCATCTCAAAAAAAAAAAAAAAAGAAGAAGAAGAAGAAGCAGCAGCTGCGCCTTTTGCCTTTTGTGTACTCCAGGAAAGGACTGGAGGAAGTGGACGCAGAGGGCTTAAGTTCTCCAGCCAGCAGGGAGCAGGCTGGGGAGAGGGGCCACAGGGAGGATGCTTGGGTAGAAAGACAGCAAGTGCCAGCCATGCTGCCCAGTGGCCTTTGGGTACCAGAGAGCTGTCTGGGCAGGACAAGAGGAGCACCTATCTCAGGTCCACAGTCGGCCACCAAGCTCAGCTAATTTTTTTTCTTTTTTGTAGAGATGGGGTTTCACCATGTTGCCCAGGTTGGTCTCGAACTCCTGGGCTCAAGTGATCCTCTTGTCTCAGCCTCCCAAAGTGCTGGGATTACAGGCCTGAGCCATTGCGACCAGCCTTGGGTCCACAGTCTTCACAGTTCCCAAGGCACGTTCATCTTGGTTTAGTCTTACTGTGGCCTTGTGGGTTCAGGGTTACCATCCTCATTTTACAGATAGGGACAGTGAGGCTGGCAGAGAGGCCCGTCCTGCCCCAGGTGACAACTGCCCTAGGATCCTGAGCCTCGCCCCGGTCCTACATGCCCTTGGGGACCTCCCCAGGAGGAGGAGCTAGGGGCAGTGGTGCAGAAAGATTGCCCAGGTGTACGATGTCACAGGCAGGCAGGGGGATGTTGGGGGCATTTATTTCTGGTAGAGACTGGCACAAGCTTTGGGTTAAGGACACTCACCCCCTACTCTCATCTAGAAACAATCTCTCTTGCCGGGTGCGGTGGCTCACGCCTGTAATCCCAGCACTTTGGGGGGCCAAGGCGGGCGGATCACAAGGTCAAGAGATCGAGGCCATTCTGGCCAACATGGTGAAACCCCATCTCTGCCAAAAATGCAAAAATGAGCTGGGCGTGGTGGCGCATGCCTGTAGTCCCAGCTACTCGGGAGGCTGAGGCAGGAGAACCCCGGAGGCAGAGAGCCGAGATCGTGCCAGCCTGGTGACAGAGTGAGACTCGTCTCAAAAAAAAAAAAAAAAAAAAAA